ATAGACCACCAATAGAACATATCTAGCATCCGCCTATCAATGAAACACAAAAAATGGTCTATCTGACATCGAAGAAGACTAAACTCTAAAACTGCATTTGAAAACTTACCAAATCATGCCCTCGGTGACTGCTTCAAACCATACAAATATTTTTTTAACCGACTTACACTTTTACCATACTCCCCTTGAGAAGTAAACTCAGGTNACATCGAAGAAGACTAAACTCTAAAACTGCATTTGAAAACTTACCAAATCATGCCCTCGGTGACTACTTCAAACCATACAAATATTTTTTTAACCGACTTACACTTTTACCATACTCCCCTTGAGAAGTAAACTCAGGTAGCTGTCCCATGTATACCTCTTCAACCAAGTCACCATACATGAAGACATTCTTGACATCTAACTGAAACAAGGACCAATCAAGATTAGTAGCCAAAGAAATTAAGATACGAATAGAGAAAATTTTGGCAACATGAGAGAAAGTCTCCTCATAATCANAGTCACCATACATGAAGACATTCTTGACATCTAACTGAAACAAGGACCAATCAAGATTAGTAGCCAAAGAAATTAAGATACGAATAGAGAAAATTTTGGCAACATGAGAGAAAGTCTCCTCATAATCAACACCATAGGTCTGAGAAAAGCTCTTTACAACAAGCCAGACTTTGAAACGCTCCACAGAATTATTCGAATAAAATTTAACAGTATACACCCAACGATNCAACACCATAGGTCTGAGAAAAGCTCTTTACAACAAGCCAGACTTTGAAACGCTCCATAGAATTATCCGAATAAAATTTAACAATATACACCCAACGACAACCAATAATTCGTTCACCAGGAGGTAAAGGAACGAGATCCCAAGTCCCATTATGATATAAGACATTCATCTCATCCTCCATAGCTTTCCTCCAACCTAGATTAAATAACATATCATGTAAGTGTTTAGGAATAGATATAATAGATAATTGAGAGGCAAAACAAGAGAAGAAAGGAGACAAGGCATCATATGAAATAAAATGAGCAATGAGATGATTAGTAACACATGAACGAGTACANTCCATAGCTTTCCTCCAACCTAGATTAAATAACATATCATGTAAGTGTTTAGGAATAAATATAGTAGATAATTGAGAGGCAAAACAAGAGAAGAAATGAGACAAGGTATCATATGAAACAAAATGAGCAATGAGATGATTAGTAACACATGAACGAGTACCTTTTCAAAGAGCAATTGATAAAGAGTTTAAATTACCTGATGTACCAGGATTAAAAGACAAAAAGAAAGACGGTATGGGCATCTCAGTTGATGAGCGAGGACGACGAGGGTATACATGAAGAGATAAAGTAGATGGTAACATAGTAGGCAANTAAATTACCTGATGTACCAGGATTAAAAGACAAAAAGAAAGACGGTATGGGCATCTCAGTTGATGAGCGAGGACAACGAGGGTATACATGAAGAGATAAAGTAGATGGTAACATAGTAGGCAATGGAATATCCGAAGATGATGGTGGTACAAGAGACAATCCAAAGTTCAGATCCAAAGGCTGAGTAGGTGCCAAATAATATGAAATATATTCCTTAAACGTGATATGGACACTAGTAAAGTATCGTCACAGAGAAGGACTATAGCAACAAAACTCTTTCTGTGTGCGGGAGTATCCAAGAAATATAAATTTGGTAGCTCGAGAGTCAAGTTTATCAAACTCAGGATCCAAATTGTGAACATAATAGACACATCCAAAAACCTTAGGAGTTAAGAAAAGTAAGGGCTTACCAGAAAAAAGGACAGAATATGAACTTTACCCATTTAACACAGAGAATGACATATGATTAATAAGATGACAAACAATAAGAACAGTATCACTCCAAAAATATCGATAAATATTCATTTGGAATAACAGGGCATATGTGACTTTCAACAAACGGTTCTTGCGTTCAGCAATAACATTCTGTGGAGAGGTGTAAACATAGGAAGTCTGATGAATAATGCCAGTTTTACTAAGATAAGCTAAAAAATTATCAGATTTATATTTTCGAGCATTATCAGAACGTAAAATACGTATACGACAACCATATTGAGTTTTTATTTTTTTGCGAAAAGTCTCAAATATAGAGAATAATTCAGATCAATCTTTCATCAGAAACAACCAGGTCACACAAGAATAGTCATCCATAAATGACACAAAATAAAAATATTTATTTGATAAAATATTCTTTATTGGACCCCATACATCAGAATATTCCAACTCAAATGGATTAGACACACAATTATTGACTTTATACTGAAATGACTTACTAAGTTGACAAGCTTCATAAGATAAAGACGACACATAACTAATACTGAAAACTTAGCGCTTCAGATTCTGGAGAAAGGCATTTCCAAGACGACAATGCCATTGAAAAGGAGACAACGAGGTCTGTAGAGCCTGAGTAGGTGAATCAAAATTAAAGTAATTTAGGCCACCAGCTTCATAACCCGTACCAATTTTCCTCTTCGTCTTGAGATCCTGAAAGACAATAATAAGATGGATAAAAAGTTATAGTACAATTGAGAGCATGAATGATCTTGTTAATGAAAAGTAAACTAAAAGGAAATTGATGAACAAATAACACGGAAGATAGGGACATATTAGGACTCAAGTAAATAGTCCCCAAATCTGAAACTTTAGAATAAGTACCATTAACAAGAGTGAAATTAGTAGACTGATAAGTAGAACAAACATCAGATGCACCAGTCATGTGGTCAGAAGTGCTAGAGTCTATGATCCAGAGACTGCGAGTGGAGGACAATAAACAAGTGAAAACAGTATCTAACTGGACAAAAATAGCAGTGGAGGGAGATAGAACAGTCTGCTAGGATAGGATCTGAGTATACTCCTCTTGTGTAACAATAACTAACCTAGTGTCTGGTGGAACTGATCGAGGTATGAAAGCAACAATAGAGGTGTCATCCTGATAGAAAGCCTGATTCACAGCACAAGACGGTTTTTCATGTAAATTCCAACAGAAATCAATAGTATGCCCTCAACGGCCACATTAAGTATAGGAATGAGGTCCACTACGGCCCCCATGACCACCCGTATTACCTCTTGTACAACCTCCTTGACCACCACGTCCACCTCGATGACCGTCACTATGGCTACTAGGAACTTCAAGAGCTGAGCGATCAGTGAGACACCATGATCGATGCCTAAAGTAGCACGCTGTGCACGAGAGAAAACTTCAAGGAGTGAAGGAAGACTAGAACCACCCAAAATCTGAGAATGAATAACCTTATATTTAGGTTTCAGTCCTACCAAAAATGTAACAACATTCAGGTCCTCATGTTACTTCTGTCAAACTGCCGCATCAGTAGTAAACAGATGATAGTTCTTCATCTCCTTACAGACTCCCCGAACGTGAGAGTAATAATCTTCAATACTTAGAGTACTCCGCTTCAGCTAGAAGTACTCTTTGCACACCTCATAAGCTCGGGTAAAATTACCTATATCAGAATACATAGTGGCCAAGTAATCTCNCAAACTCAGGATCCAAATTGTGAACATAATAGACACATCCAAAAACCTTAGGAGTTGAGAAAAGTAAGGGCTTACCAGAAAAAAGGACAGAATATGAACTTTACCCATTTAACATAGAGAATGACATATGATTAATAAGATGACAAACAATAAGAACAATATCACTCCAAAAATATCGAGAAATATTCATTTGGAATAACAGGGCATATGTGACTTTCAACAAACGGTTCTTGCGTTCAGCAACAACATTCTGTGGAGAGGTGTAAACATAGGAAGTCTGATGAATAATGCCAATTTTACTAAGATAAGCTGAAAAATGATTNACTTTCAACAAACGGTTCTTGCGTTCAGCAACAACATTCTGTGGAGAGGTGTAAACATAGGAAGTCTGATGAATAATGCCAATTTTACTAAGATAAGCTGAAAAATGATTAGATTTATATTTTCGAGCATTATCAGAACGTAAAATACGTATACGACAACCATATTGAGTTTTTATTTTCTTGCGAAAAGTCTCAAATATAGAGAATAATTAAGATCAATCTTTCATCAGAAACAACCAGGTCACACAAGAATAGTCATCCATAAATGACACAAAATAAAGATATTTATTTGATAAAATATTCTTTATTGGACCCCATACATCAGAATATTCCAACTCAAATGGATTAGACACACAATTATTGACTTTATACTGAAATGACTTACTAAGTTGACAAGCTTCATAAGATAAAGACGACACATAACTAATACTGAAAACTTAGCGCTTCAGATTCTGGAGAAAAGCATTTCCAAGACGACAATGTCATTGAAAAGGAGACAACGAGGTCTGTAGAGCCTGAGTAGGTGAATCAAAATTAAAGTAATTTAGGTCACCAGCTTCATAACCCGTACCAATTTTCCTCTTCGTCTTGAGATCCTGAAAGACAATAATAAGATGGATAAAAAGTTATAGTACAATTGAGAGAACGAATGATCTTGCTAATGAAAAGTAAACTAAAAGGAAATTGATGAACAAATAACACGGAAGATAGGGACATATTAGGACTCAAGTGAATAGTCCCCAAATCTGAAACTTTAGAATAAGTACCATTAACAAGAGTGAAATTAGTAGACTGATAAGTAGAACAAACATCAGATGCACCAGTCATATGGTTAGAAGTGCTAGAGTCTATGATCCAGAGACTGGAGTGGAGGACAATAAACAAGTGAAAACAGTACCTGACTGGACAAAAATAGCAGTGGAGGGAGATAGAACAGTCTGCTAGGATAGGATCTGAGTACACTCCTCTTGTGTAATAGTAACTAACCTAGTGTTTGGTGGAATTGATCGAGGTATGAAAGCAACAATAGAGGTGTCATCCTGATAGAAAGCCCGATTCGCAGCACAAGAAGGTTTTTCATGTAAATCCCAACAGAAATCAATAGTATGCCCTCAACGGCCACATTAAGTATAGGAACGAGGTCCACTACGGCCCCATGACCACCCGTATTACCTCTTGTACAACCTCCTTGACCACCACGTCCACCTCGATGACCGTCACTATGGCTACTAGGAACTTCAAGAGCTGAGCGATCAGTGAGACACCATGATCGATGCCTAAAGTAGCACGCTGTGCACGAGAGAAAACTTCAAGGAGTGAAGGAAGACTAGAACCACCCAAAATCTGAGAATGAATAACCTTATATTTAGGTTTCAATCCTACCAAAAATGTAACAACATTCAGGTCCTTATGTTACTTCTGTCAAACTGCCGCATCAGTAGTAAACAGATGATAGTTCTTCATCTCCTTACAGACTCCCGAACGTGAGAGTAATAATCTTCAATACTTAGAGTACTCCGCTTCAGCTAGAAGTACTCTTTGCACACGTCATAAGCTCGGGTAAAATTACCTATATCAGAATACATAGTGGCCAAGTAATCTCNGCTTCAGCTAGAAGTACTCTTTGCACACGTCATAAGCTCGGGTAAAATTACCTATATCAGAATACATAGTGGCCAAGTAATCTCATATCTCTTTGGCAGTGTCAAGATAGAGCAGAGTAGAGTTAATATTAGGCTCAATGCTATTCAACAGTAAAGAGATAATCTGAGGATCCTCTTGTTCCCACTAATCATACCCAGGAGTGTCTTCCTTGAGTTTAGGATTAACCAAATATTTCTTAAAATCTTTACCTCGAAGAAAGACTTGAACAGAACGGGACTATAAAATGTAATTGGTCTCATTGAGTTTAATATAAGTCATGGGACTATGAAGAAGAATCGGAGAAGCAGAGGTAGGTGGTGGTAAAGATGGAGCAAGGGTGTTAGCATCTTGCTTGGGTTCCATAACAGTGTAACAAATAACAAACAAGAGAGTTTTACTAGTTGGTTGGGTTGCTAGATAACTGAACTAAGCAAGAGGAGTGCATTGGACTGTTGAACTGAACTAGGAGAATTCACTGCTCTGCTGAACCGGACAAGAAAAGTCCGCTGGATTGTTGAACCAGACAAGAGAAGTCCACTGAACTGGACAAGGGAGGTCCACTGGATAGCTGAACCGGACAAGGGAAGTTCACTGGATTATTGAACTGGAGAAAAAATAGATGAAACTAGTCTGAACTGGTGTAACCCTTACTGAATCGGGATTGCACTGGTCTGAACAGGGACTCAACCAAACTTGGGCTGGTCTGATCTGCAGGCTATTGAATCTGGGCTTGGATCTGGATTGGGATCTGTCACCCAAACCCAAAACTAACCCAGCTTGAGTGGGTCGTCTTTTTCACCAACAAACCCTAAATTTTACCTTTACTATCGACAGCGCCAAGGTAAGCCACCAACGTCAACCACACTAGTTGACGGCGCTGATGTCCAGCAACTACCACCACCACCACCAGATGAGAAGTCACCGATGTTGATGACCAGCAACCACAAACGTCAGCCACACCACCACGTAGCAGTCGACAATGCCACACCACCACGCAACAATCAACAGCGTCACACCACCACACCAGTCGACAGCGCCTCACACTCAACACCAACCAACGACTACCACCACCACCAGACACCACACAACTGTGATTGAACAAGAAACAACCAACGTCGACAGAAACATCGACACCCAACCACCGACTACCACCACCACTAGACAAGGAATTTTGACAGTAGGCACAACGACGACGAACGATGTCGACTTGAGTTAATATTTGGATTTAGAATTGTTTTGCTCTGATACCATGTTAAGTTGAGAGAATTAACATAATATTAGAAGAAACGAAGAGTGGTCAAACTTAACCTACCTCTCATACATCACTTGTATTTATAATTAACTTACAATAATTAAAAAGACGAATACACTCTCTTATATTTACACATAATACCCTAATACTATTAACAAATTGCAAGAATCTTCAAAGTCATCTCTATGGCTATGTAAGGCTTATGATCAATTTGNTAAAAAAGATGAATACACTCTCTTATATTTACACATAATACCCAAATACTATTAACAAATTGCAAGAATCTTCAAAGTCATCTCCATGGCTATGTAAGGCTTATGATCAATTTGCACATGTTCATACATTATCTTCAATTTGTTCATTGTCTTCTCCGTATTTTTGCATTTGCATTCATTCTTTTTGAACTTCTCATATTTCTTGANTTAAAAAGACGAATACACTCTCTTATATTTACACATAATACCCTAATACTATTAACAAATTGCAAGAATCTTCAAAGTCATCTCTATGGCTATGTAAGGCTTATGATCAATTTGCACATGTTCATACATTATCTTCAATTTGTTCATTGTCTTCTCCGTATTTTTGCATTTGCATTCATTCTTTTTGAACTTCTCATATTTCTTGAATTTTCCTTGGGGTAGCTCTCTTAAACCGAAACTTCCTTCATATTTACCTAACCTGTGTCACCTTGAACATTCTCTACAATTTGTAAGTAACAAATAGTGAAATTTTCAAGAAATAGATTACCTTGAACATGGTAACCTTCACTTTCATGTTTGATTGCAAAAGTATTTTTCATGGTCACTACATAAGATTCCACTTTAACATCTTTAACATCTTTAACTACATAAGGATCCTTGATTTCTTCTTCATACTTTACACATTCTTTTTCTTCAATTTCTTGAGTTGCATTTTCAACTTCATTGTTTTTGTTATCTTCTTTAGTCTCTTGAACTTCAACTTTAACTTTTTCAACTTCTTTCACTTCATCAAGATGATGCTCTTCTTGATTCTCCATTAGTGTATCTTCAAAATCACTTTCTTCTTTTACATACTCATCTTCTTCAAAACATTGTACCGAATACTCCTCAGGTAAAACCTCACTTTCGTGTTTGGATCCTACACTCTATCATCTTCAAAACATGATTTGAAAAACTTGAATCTCCTACAAGATTCCAAATCTCAGGATGAAACGCCTTTTTAAGAACTTCGAGTGCCTTTTCATCTTTCTTTTCTCAGATTCTTTCAGGCAAGCCAATCATTGACTTTTCTTCAATCACACCCCATAAATCACATGCTTTGAGATAAGAAGGCAGAGTAATTTTCATTCTCTTGTAATTAGAGAACATCATCTTTTCACACCAAAAAATACATATTTGGGGAATCTTCCATGATAATCAATCGCGACGGTCTATCAAGACTTCAAAGATTGTAGTAGCTCTAAAAGTGAGCTATCTAGATTTTCAAGATCATAAACTTGGCTTTGATGGAGAGTTATCTAACTTCCAAGATAAAAAACTAGCTCTAAATGAGAGTTATCTTCTAGGATCGGTGCTGACTTTGATACCAATTTATTAGAATTACTATAACAAAAAAATTGCTTTGATACCAACTTGTTGGAGTCAAGAGGACTAGAAATGAAATGGTAGGAAGTAGAAGAGAATATGANTAAGAGTTATCTTCTAGGATCGGTGCTGACTTTGATACCAATTTGTTAGAATTACTATAACAAAAAAATTGCTTTGATACCACCTTGTTGGAGTCAAGAGGACTAGAAATGAAATGGTAGGAAGTAGAAGAGAATATGAACATTCAAAGAAAAACTAATTTTCATAAAAGTTGATTACAATCACACACTCAACTTGGACTCTTCAATTTCTACTCAACTCTACTTGTTTCTAACACCAGACTATATACCCTATTTATATAGGTTATACATACAACTCATACCATTATATGTAGGTACCATTACACCCACTAACTCTTGTAACCTCTATAATATTAAGACACCATTACTTAGGGCATTAACACCCACTAATACTCTTAACTTCCACTACTTGCATATTTCTTGCTNACAGGTTGTACATACAACTCATACCATTATATGTAGGTACCATTACACCCACTAACTCTTGTAATCTCTATAATATTAAGACACCATTACTTAGGGCATTAACACCCACTAATACTCTTAACTTCCACTACTTGCATATTTCTTGCTTATTACTACACACCAAATTAACACACCTTAGTAATATAATAAAACACTAAACAAGTTTATTTTCCAACATTTTGCTCCTTTTTATGGTAGAATTCATGTGAGTGTGTGTGTGTTTTTCAATCATTGGATTTTCCATATAATTCTATGTATTTTTGTATATGATTTTTTTTTTCTTCTTATTGTTATCGNAGTAATATAATAAAACACTAAACAAGTTTATTTTCCAACATTTTGCTCCTTTTTATGGTAGATTTCATGTGAGTGTGTGTGTGTTTTTCAATCTTTGGATTTTCCATATAATTCTATGTATTTTTGTATATGATTTTTTTTTCTTCTTATTGTTATCGCATGCGGAATCCTGAGTTAGAGAAGTTAAACAATGGTGGCTTTTGGCAGCTGGATGAAATTTACACAGAAAATCAACTTCGGCTACCATGGTCAGGTGGTGAGCAAAGCAGTCAATATGGCCAACCTAACACTCAATCCCACGAGTTCTTCCAGCCATTAGAATGCAATTCCACTTTTCAAACAGGGTAAACTTTCAACTACTCAATCCATCTGTTTCCATGTTAAAAATTAATGTTATTTGTGTTTGAATTTCGATTGATCATATGCAAGTCGGATGCAAATCGACCCCAAAAACTTAGGCGTAGGCTTAGAGGAATTTGCTCAACTTTACATATAAACCCATTGCTCTACATTTGCATAGCTGATGTGGAATGGCTTTGCGGCCTCTCACATGTGGTTCCAACACTCCCCTCACATGTGATTCATATTTTTTATTTGGGTGTTTTACTGGGTGGAGTAGTTCTCCCTTACCCAAATATATATGTTTATTTTGGAAACAGGTACAATCCTGCAGGTTCAACCCAGATAGCTGCTGCGGCAAATGTCCAGAATGTCAATGGGTTAATCCCTGGGTGGATGCTGTGAGTTGGTGTTGGAATAAGGCTACCAGGTAAATGCATTTTGGAGGTAAAGATGCTAAGTGGTTTCACCACAGTATGTAACTTTTCAATAATTGAAAGCAGCATAGACTGAATGGACAAAAACATGTAAGAACTTCAAATATTCCCCGATTATTAGTGATGACTTGGTTTGTATAAAACCTTGGTACATTTTGACATAAGGTTGTTTCCATGTATGCTATTTTTCTAGTCTATTAATCGTGAGTACATATGTAATGCAACGCGAGTGCAATTAAGATTAGTATGAGTGTATTTGTTCAAAAAAAAAAAAAAAGATTAGTATGTGTGTTACTTTACTTACTGTCTTCGTGTAAAACCTGGGTACGTCTCTTTTGTTATACATCAATAGAATATTACTTTACTTTTAAAAAAAAAAAAAATGTTATTGTTTATTGGTGCCCGCCCCCGCCAAGATAATTGGACATACGTGATCAAATCAGAGTAACGTTCGAATTATATATAATTTTTCATGCCAAATAATGGTATGTTTCCATTAGATGGTATATGCAAGAGTGTATCAATAACAGAACGAATATAGTACAATACGTTGCAGATGTTCTTTTTTTTTTTTGGTACATCAGATGTTCTCTTTAGATTGCTAAGAACATGTCCAATTGCTTGTACGACAGTACCAAAAAAACAAAGGAAATTAGAAAGAAAAGCTCTGGATGGTTGATTCCTTTTGTGATGAACACAATGAAGGCTTGATTCCTTGAGCCCATGGGTATATTCTGACGACCCATATTATGATCAATGTCTATGGGCTTGTTTCCATTAGTGTCCATCCCAGTGGGCTTGCCACCATAGTGATGTCGTTTCCTAAGCACAGAGCCTTGTCGCAAACTATACGTTGTCGAGTAAGCTAACATATTATTAAGGATATTTTATAATTTAGTAAATTAGACAAAGATCCCTCCTTGGTGTGTAAATTAGGTTTAGTCCTACCAAATTTTTAGTATATAAAAAAGTCCTCCTATGTAGACTTATTTGGTTTTAAGTCCACTTTTTGTCAAGTTTACTATTGTATCCCTAATTTTTGGTAAAAGAATAACCGACGTCTGACTCACCGTCTCTTTCATATAGGTTACATCATTGACGTGTATATGGAAACTCTTGATTGAGTTATATGTGAAAATCGTTTATTAAATATTATGATAATTAGCGAAAGTTTTATATGAAAGTTATATATTCTAATAGTTATATATGAAAGTTTGATGTACAAATTAATCGTTGGTCTATAAAGTTAAAATCATATTACAAAATTTTCTTATTAATTCAAAAATTCTTAACATTAGTGTTACTATAGTGACATGGATGATATTGTTTTTCTTAAAATACTCAATAGCCAAAATGAAGAATTCCACAATTTCAAATAATAACACTAACTCAACCACAATTTTCACTTACATTATCAATTGCAAACTTTTAGACGTATATTATATAACATACACATTTAATTTTTACAATAACATCAAAGTGTTGTGCTCAGTAACACATCTACTTTTACAAAATACAAGACAATAGGGTTTTTACAGTAACATTAATTTTCAAAAAATTATAGTGAAAATGCAATCCACAAATTAAAAATTTACAAAATTTCTAATAGTAACACACCACTGAAAATTGAATTAGGACACTCAACACCAATCAAGAACATCAAGACATCGAAATTCTAAAATTCACTATTCAGTTATCACATAGTAACATGATCTATTTCACCATAGTTTTAAAATCCGGCCCGGACATCAACTCGACAAAGGGACTGAGTCAATGGGTTACTGGTTCAACCGTTGGGTAAAAAATAATTATAAATACTAATTAATAGACTAAAAAATAACAATAATTATGAAAATAGCATCAAACATATAAAGTCAAGTAGAGAAAAATCATCAAACATGTATCCAATACATTTAATTTCTAATACAACTTATAAAGTTCAGTAGGGAAAAATACATCTATTTCAGTTCAAGGCTCCAATTCTCCTACTATGCATCAATCCAAGTATAATTCATGTAATTTGCACTCTTCAAATTACAAAGTCAATCAATTTATAAAAAATCAAAACTTCATTCAATGTATAAAATATAGCATTATTAATCAAAGATTCAATGTATATTTCAATATTCTACACAAAATATAAACCAAAAATTAGATATAGCATAGAGTTAGAGAAAGAGTGTATGTACTTGCTGGTAGTCATTGATGCTCGATGTAGTTCTTCCGGTTGTTGGAGTCGACCCACTGGTGGTGAACTGGAGTCGACTGGACTGGAGAGAGAGAGAGAGAGAGAGAGAGAGAGAGA